CTAAGACAAATTTAACGATAATCGTTCGTTTTCTTTTAACCCTTGTACTACCAACCAGGGTCTATTTAGACCCTGTTCTCAAAAAACAAGAAAATGAGATGAAATTTTTTTTTTGCATGGATCGAAGTATGAGATACATTCTGTGAATGCATTCTATTTGTTGTGCCTAAAGTAGGCTTGGGAGTACAAGGGTTAAAGAGTACCTAATTGCATCCAAATTCAACACAACGGCCTCAAAATCTCCGATGATATACTGTTTAGATACATGATTCAGAGATAAAAATAACCAAGAAAGCCATTTTGTTCCAACATTGGCTGAAAATCCAGCTGAAAAACAAAATTCTTTCCTTGAAACTTGTTCTAGTTTTCATGATAAACCATACGTAGAGCAGACCAAGTTAAATATATCCTGAAGTTTGGAGGTCATTATTAGGAGTGGCACGTTCCGGTTACTTTCCGTTATTTTACTCTGAAAAGTAATGGCTTTCCGTTACTAGTAACAGGTAACTAAAATCCGTTACCTGTTACCAGTAACGGTAACAAAAAACCGTTACCTATGACTAGTACCGGATAACGGAAAACTGTTATCCGTTACCAGTAACGGTAATTAAAGTCTGTTACTTTAGTAACGGAAAGTAACGTAAAAGACTATTATAAATATTAAGTATTGAAAAAGACTTGTATTAATTACCTATCGAATTATTTAGTTTTGTAACTGTTACTGAGATATCTGCAGAAACAACATCCTTTCAGTGTTTAAAATACTAAATATGTTGATAACTGCGGTAAAAATCCAAGAAAGAAAAAGAGATTTCGAGATCCTAATTTGATCAGGCTATCATTATTTAATCGTTTTTGTAATTTCCAAATATATTGACATCCTTTGACTTTTTTACGTGTTTTATAAAACTAAATATATTTAATATAACTGAAAAACATTTTTGTAAAACCATTTTACATAAAAAGCGAGCTTTCGATACTTCACAGTATCATAATCACGCTAATATGACTGTCGAATTCAGAAGAGAGTTGATTATATATACTAGTTGAAACAAGAGAGAACGATACATATGTTTCTTATGTAGCTTAAATCGGATAAACTTTGATGTTAGACCATATAAGAGCAGTATCTCAGAAACTCCATATCACATTGCGTTTTTGCCTGTTTAACAGTTTTTCTCTCAACATATCTCAACAGTACCAAAACCAATCGTTCATATTTAGAACTGATTAATCATCGTTCTCTCTTGTTTCAACTAGTATATCTAATCAACTCTCTTCTAAATTCGACAGTCATATTAGCGTGATGATGATACTGTGAAGTATCGAAAGCTCACTTTTTATGTAAAATGATTTGTTTTTCAATTATATTAAATATACTTACAATTTTCAATAATATATCTTTTTGCAATCAAACAATGTTATTCATGTCATCGCGCTGAACTTTTCGTATAAACTTACTTAATACAAGTTCAATGAATGAGTAGAGAAGAATATTTTTCACATTCCATATTGTTCTCATTTTGTTTCAAAAAAATGATCATAAATGCATTCGTTAACGTACACGTGATTAAGATGTATTTATCAGGATCCAAATAAGAAGAGAGGAAACAATTTAGTTTATTTCAAATTTATATAACAGCGGTCAATTTCAAACATACCGATTGTCATATTGTACAGCATGATCTGATGATCATTGAATAATATTCTGAGTATGTATTCTTTCAGCGAATGAATTGTGACAACTCGATCCATCTTTGGGATTCATTTGATTGATGGTTACCAAAACCATAAAAATGACAATAGATTATAAAAGCATGTCATATTCTGAGAACATTTTTCCTACAGTCATCACAGTTAAATAATGCAAACAGAAAGGTTCTTTTCTACGATTAACAACAAGTTGAGTCAATAAATGAGATATTAGTAGACCAATTTAATATTATTATTGTCTCCGAAGGAAATCAGTTAATAAACGATATGTGCATTCATTACAGGCAATAGCAAAAGTAGTTGTCTTTTAATGTAACTAATTCATCGATGGTCCGTTGTCTAATTCATCATAATTGTCAACAACAATAATTCGTTGATGTTTTTCAAGAAAATCAATATCACGTTCGATTTCGACCAATTCTCTTGTCAAACGTTCTTTTTTGTTTATCGCTGACATTGTATCTAATTGAACGGGTAAGCGAAGAAAATCGTGAAATATTTCTTCATAACGGTTCTTTAAATCTAGAACATATATATATAAAACATCAGAAATAAACACTGAATACAACAAAACATTTTTTTTTACTATTTATTAAACTTTGTCTTTCTTCCATCGGTAGAATTTTCATGACATGACGATTCGTTCTCTCGTGCATTTCATTTTGATATTGTTCTCGCATTTGATGTAAACATTTTTTACGAGCCGTTATATAACACGGAACTTCTCCGTACGTCTAAAGTAAAAAAATCAAATGTCATAGTCACTATTGTTTATTTAAACATAAAGTCAAACGTTTAAAATAAGCAATATTAGCAAAAAACTAAAACTGAGATGCCGATGTCACAAAACATTTATGATAGCTAGCAAACAAGTTTCTCATTTTTCTCTCACTTTTTTACAGATAAACTCCTTTTGTAGACCACTACCGTCGATCAAATATTTATTGCCTTTTCTGTCTGACACAACATAACGTTTTGGGCAACTAGGTTTCGATTGAACAGCTTTACATATATTTTCTTTAATAAAATCTTTTTTCGTTTTTGATCCTTGAGCTGGATGATCACACGGGTTGGGTATGAATGGTATCGATTTCGGACATAAAATTGGTTTTACTCAAATGAATACCATGAGAAAAATATCCTATTGTTCAGATCTCTCGTATCTCTTCTGGTATCAATTTTACCTTCAGGTAGTGCAATATATCGTTGTTTTCGCTTTAGAAAGCAGCAAGGGTTCGGTTTTGGTTCCTGTGCGACACCCACTACAGATGTAAAACAACCTATATACCATTTATGGGCGTGGTCCCATGTAAAGTGTAGGAAGAAACTTCAGGTAGCGATACATCAGTTATCTCGGTCATAAAAACGTACTTGTACGATGAGGAGATTTTCCCTCGAATATTGTTCGCCAAGCACACGGTGCAAACTTTGATCGGTATCTAAAACAAATAGAAAAAATATAGTATACAAAATTAATAAAAATAGCTGTTTTTTGTCCATGGATACCTTGGTCGATGGCACGGTTCACCAGTCGGTTGAGCTGGCACCCTTTGCAGCAAATTATAAACTGTTTCTTGCACATCCGCCATTATTGATAGGTCGATCTGAATAATGAGATATTCACTTGGATTAAAACGTCGTTTCTCTTTCCTGTATAGCTAAATAACTTTGAAATAGAAAATCAAATGTTTCATCCTTTCAAGAAAACTGACATGAATCTGAAAATATCGAGACACTCAGATACCCCGTCTTATTCAATGGTTAAAAAATTTTAGCAAAGTAAAAACGGCATTCATTTGAACAAGAAGAGTATCCTGCAATGCGGCTACTATTACCGATATACTTTCTGCTCGATTACTTGAGCTATCCCTATACACACTTACTCCGCACCTATTCATTTCCTCAAAAACCACCAAGACTATCCCGAGGAACTGTATTGTACGTCACAAGATAGTAAGTTCGGTATCGGACAGATGATAAGAGGCACCAAGACATACGTAATTTGCCCGGGATTATCATACGACTTGATGGTACCCGAGGTTCGAAGATAGTACCTTTCAAGTACATGACGAACAACATAGCCACCAAGAGTAATCTTCGTTCGTGTGAGCCCTCATACTAGATCGTTTCTCACTCTTTCCAACTAATAGACTGAACAAGTCAATACAATTTCAGTCTTAAACGTACGTTTTTGGAATTAATAAGATATTATATAATTACCTTACCTGCTACACTTTTATTTCAAAAAAGAATTTTCGAATAACAACCAGGATGTCTTTTTCACAAGAGTTGCTACATTTGGAACATATTGCGGTGATTGTTGAATAGTCGGCGCTTCCCCACTAAAAGCGACGTATCTTAGTTAAACCCTCCTTTTCTTTCAAACAAACCGTGTTATATGTTTATCAAAAAGGTTGTCAAAAACTCGTAAATTCATAGCACCTTACTAGAAGTTGTGTTGTTTCTGAATAGACTCAGTTACTCATTCTTGCACTGACTGGAGAGGTTCGTATCTCTAGTCTGATTAGGGGAATTTTGTAACCAAAAACAAAAAAGAAGAGCGAAAAAGAAAACATATATAGAGAGAGACAAGAGAGAGATATAGAAAAATAAATATAGAAAAACATGGCCATCATGGCCAACAACATATGGCCATCGAGAATAATTATCACTAATACTTGTGCAAGTACCTGGGTTAGGTAATGAAGAAAAGTCCACAGTACTAGTGGACTTTTCAAGTAAATTTACTTACTAAGTAAAATGTAAGTACTTGGTTGACACAATGCAAGTAAATTTACTTAAAAAAAAGTTGAGTCGAGTCCTTATTCCCGTTTATTCTTATTTTGTATTTTACACATATGCTTGAGCTATATTCTACTTTTGTAGAGCAAATACATGCACGGCTACTACAGTAGTTTGTTCAACTCAGTAGAAATATATAAGTTTATTTTATAAGTGTATAACGATTGATATTCTGGTGCTTTTATATAACCGGTCAATGCAAATTCAGTCACTGAATTGTCCAAGTACTTTGCCGAAGTAAGTCAAGTAACGACACCTGGCAAGTTCTTGCACAAGTACTTAACTTGTCACGTACTTCCCAAGTACTCACTAAGTAATCTAGTACTTGTACCAAGTATATTCATTAGGGATAGTCGTTAGTTCAAAATGGTCAAACAGCTTTCTATAAAATGAAATTTCGGAAAGTAACTACTTAATTTGTGATAGAATTGAACCAATTAAGAAGAGTAATGTTGATTTTAAACTAATGACGAATCTGTTGAGACATCATCGAAACTAATATAATAGCTGGTTTAAACGCTTCATAGTCGATCATAGTTATTTTTTGATCGCGATACGTCTGGGGAACTTTTCACGATGGTATTTTGTCTTTGTCTTTTAAAATAAAAATAAAGTAAAAACAAAAGAAGAAAACACCTGAAGATGATACATGTTATGATCAAGATTTCTTTTTCTATCTGTCGGATCTGGTAAAAACATTTTTTTGAAATTCTACAGAATATATGAGAAATAGAACAGAATGTACAGTGTTATTTAAATTTTCTTTATTTTCTAATATTATTAACGAATCTTTTTATACGTAGGCAATAATTTAAATTTGCTAATAAAACCTTAAATTCTTCTCAGTTTACAGCATGATTGGTATCTAAAATATGTTTACAAAAGGCTGATTTTAAACTTGCTTTTGGAATCGATGGTAAAGACGAGGTCGTCTCGATCTCTCCAGCAGATTCGCCAACGTCTTGTTGACCGTGTTCAATTAACTTAACAGACCTAATTGAAAAGATCGTCTTAGGTTAGATTCGCCTTGATACAGTGAAAAAACTCTTCGATACATTGAAAATCACAGAGCGAAAAAACACGTAAAAAGCATGTGTTTTTGACACTGGATTCACATTTTAGATCCGATCACAAATGATAAAAAAAACTTTTAAATCTACACTTAACAGTTTCATCTAATATAAATTTTTATCACCCTTATGAATATGATACCACTTTATCATAAACTCAATCTCAACATCTCAGTAATGTAAACTGAGATGTAAATGTAAACATGTAAATTCTTCTCAGTTTATTGTTCTGAAAAATAATTTTCTGTCGTTATAGAAGTTTCTAGAAAATTCCAGTTGTCTGGATATACACATGCGTGTGGCGGCAGTTTCCAGAAGGTTCCAGAAGTTTTCTAGAAGATTCCTGATGTAGACATTGCGTATTATATATATATAAATTAGCCTTTGAAATACATAAAATATAAAAGTTAAAAACTAACTAGATACTTTTGAAGAATATTTGTAGTCTTCGGAATAAATAGATACAAATCGCCGCTTTCAACGTTTTCGTCAATAAACATGGATGTTGACTCAAAGTTGAAAAACTTCGATTTTTCGAAGTTTATACTAAATGTAGCATCTGCTCCGGCTAATATTTGCGTAAATTCAAATTGCAAGAGTAAGTTATTTGCACATTAAGTTTAGCATTATGTACACTTTTTGAATGAATCTTTCACAGAAAAGGCATTTTCCCTCCCATACCTCCCGAAAAACCGCATTTTTTCAAAGTTAAAGCTCCGTAACTTCATAAGGGGATGAGCTAGAAAGATGAAATTTGGTGGAGAGGAGTGAAATAAAAAAAATTGTTAAAATCGGTTCATAGGAACAGGAGTTATAGGTAAAATACTGCCAACATCAATTCTACAAAAAGTTGCATTTCACGTCAATAATGATTTGGTCTAAAATACTATTTGTGCACCGTTTCAAGATTTAAAAATAGTTGTATTCGATCATACTCGACATGCGCTATCTTTTGAATATAGATTGGTTGCTTACTCGGAATTAGTGAAAACCGATCATGTCCTTTCAAATAATTTTGATCGTGTTAGAATCAAATGGTGTCCAACATTAAAAAAGTATTTGAAATAATAAACATTACTTAACAATGATAAGATTGTTTTGCTATGCGCTTCTTCTCGCAATTAAAAATTAAAAAAATCATGTGTTACCATATTTTACTCTTGTTCTCTTGACACTCTTGATGTGTGAAACGCTTATATCTCAGATTTATGTATATGAAAAAAAGTGACTTATTATCATTTAGAAATCATATTAATTCATTCGGTTGTTGTATTCAATTAAGATTCATGTGAATGGGCTGTGTACTAGACAGTAAATGTTAACTCTTCTCTCAAATTAAATAATTTATTAATTTACACGAGTAAAAATTATTATAAAGAGTAATGTCGACAAATTATTGATTATTACTCATCTGGTTATGTGACATTGATGAAAGATTAAAATAGGTAAGAAAACTGGACGCTTGCTGCATGGAACTGGGTAATCATTTTTCGTTACGCTCTATTTAGATAGGATTCTTGTATTTCGATTAATGAACGAGATTGAAATCAATAATTAGTATTAAATGGAATTTTTTTCTTTTTTTTTTTACAACCTATTTTAAATTTTACAACGCATCGTTATTTGAAACTGATAAATATCACATGGACATTAAAAAACAATTGACACATTCTGCCCGAGTTTAATCTTGTCTTATAACTTGTCGACTTTACAGAAAACACAAAACGATTTGATTTGGTTAGAGAACCCGTGCTTCCGTGGTGACTTGATCACTTTTCTGTGCTCAAAACACGAAGTACCGTCACGATGATGACATTTTTAACATACAAAAGTCAAGTCTAAAGTAGTCAGTTAATTTCAAGAACTTATTAACGAACACAGCAAAATTTTGATAAAAAACGAACCAGTATATCTCTTTATGTGCATCTTTCTGCAAAATTTCGTTAAACCTTACGTACGATTCGTGAGATATTGATATAAATATAACGAACACTTAAATCTACACTCATATTAATTATTGCTATTTTAAGATTACTCTGCAATAGGTTTTAGTTAAGAAGTTTTATTATATACACCTCATCTATTATTTATACACTTAGACTTAGGTGTAACAATAAAGATTTTTTATGATATGACTTCCACTACTATACTATCTTTTTTATTATACCAAGGATAAAAATTAGGTTAATCTTTTTTGTTTTAAAACTCTTTCTGATGCACATACTCATAGTTATATCATTAACCAACTTTAGCAAAAATGTCTGCTTTGCAGCATGCTGATTTCTCTAAGTAACCTTCTCTATGCACCTCTCGAAATAAGTAAAGGAATTTTTGATATCCATTTTTTTATGAAAATCAATCAATCACTGCTAGTGAGCAATTAAATGTATGAAAGAATTGAATAAAAAGCCTGTTTTTTATTAGATTATTCGTTTATAATTCAGATCTGAGAGGATCTTTCCTCAATCCTGTGCATCAAAAAGCAAAATTGAGAAAATTCGACTATTTCCACAATCAATCTTTATGTTTTAAACTCTCGTTTCGTTTAACATAAGCCCGTTAATTTCTAGTTGATCTCAAACTTGAGAAAAAAAATAAAGTATCGAACACTGAACCTTTACCCTTCTCACATCGCGAACGTTCGAACATCTTTGGATAGAAATTTTTGTTATATTCAATTTATACAATGAGCGTTAAATCTCGCTTCAACTATGAGGTACAATTCAACAACGGTACAATTATTATTTCTTTATACGTAAAAAAGTAGCAATTCGTTTATTAAAATTTATACAGACAGACATTCATATATGCAAAATAAAACTACGGCAGAGAGCACAAAAAAAATAAAGGAAAAATATGGAGTGTGAAAGAAGGAATTAACAATTAAAAAAACAATAAAGAACAAGAAGAGTAATTGAGCAGAGACGTATCAGCTGTGAGCAATTAAACATCAAATAGTTGTAAAATACTTTTTATATTTATTTTTCAAATTTTGCTAGTATTTCAACAGTTTCTGTTAATTTTTTTACGACATCACACAATGATTGAATACGATTTAGATCATCCGTTTTGGATAATTCTTCGACAGACCATTTTAATTTTTTTTGAACAATATCGACTAATGACAAAGAGACAGTTATTGCTGTTGATGTTGTTGAAATTGCTGATTCAAAATCAGTTATTAAAGTATCTAAAACAAAGAATAAATAAATTGAAATTGAAAAATATTTTATAAATACACGTTTCGATTTCTATTCGCTAAAAATATATACATACCTTTTTCATTTATGGATAAAACACTAGTCCATGATCCGGATTTTTCTGATTGCTCATCGTTTTTAATTAAGTTTTTCAACGATGACTTTGTACTGGAGTTGTCAGTGTTAGCTAAAATCAAACTAAAAAATGATTATATTGAATTTTTTCTTAAACAAAATCTTAAAAATCTGAATTTTTATCAGAGAATGAATAGAGTAGTTTGATGCTCAACTCGTGACAGTACCTAAGAACTGATTGATCAGTCTTTTTACTCATTTACCCAGACTTAACAAAATATTTTCTCTTCTAGTTGAAAATAATTTTCATTAAATATACCCATTTCTGATGTTTCTAATTTTTCTTTATCAATTTTGATTGTTGGCTTTTCTTTTTTTGATATTTTAACATCGGTTAAAACTAGAAAATGATAGAGAAGACTTAGTTTTTCTTTTGGGTAATATAAACATATTACCTTTAGTATCATTGATCACTTGTTTTTTCTGTTTTGGTTGATTTTGAACTCGTAGCGATAGAAGAGGAGGTGGTAGCTTATTTAAAGGAGGTGGATGGTAGATTGTTCCCTGTTGATCATAACCGAAATTATAACACGGCCACACTGGAATAGAATCGAACTAAACAAATCAACTAATAATGAACAGATTGCAAGCAGCACTCTACATGAATGACTGGAATCAGAATTGACTTACTCGATTCATGTTCGAATTTAGTTGGTTTGGTTGTTGATGCTTTTTAGTGTTCGTTTTCTTTCGTTTTGAATGTTTCGATTGGTTTTGCGTTTGTTGTATCATTTCTTTGATATGTTTGGTATTTTCATCTGGAATACCATGAAGTACTTGAGTAAGTGGATCAATATGAACAATATCATTCATTGACACCAGTAAATCTTTTAATGTGTTATAACCTAATTTGACATAAGGTATTTGTTGTTTACCATTAAATGTTGAATAATCTGAGATTAGCTGTTGTTCGGTCAGACCATTTTTCGAACTAATTAGTAACGATAAAATTTCGTGTTTACAACTAATATAATTGGAATTTGTTTCAGTACATTTATCTAATTCTGACATGATTATCTACAATAAGAAAGAGTGAACATTTTTTTAATTCTTCTTGGCTATCGTGTTTTTTATTTATAGTCAGATAATGTACCATTGCGAATTTTCAATAACATAAAACAGATATCGAATTGATTACATATTGTTTTTTTCTTTTATTACAAACTTTTAATTCAACTTGAACACTTAAAGTGGATATATTTACTGCTTAAAGTAACAGAAATTAATGACAAGCAAAGTGCCACATACTGTTACTGCAAAGCGACTCACCCAAAAAGGTCCGTATAATATCAGTCACAAATAAAGTGTACAATAAATACTGAAAGTAGATTACCCTTAATTCTCATTCGACTAATTTCGTTCCTGCTATTTAATGAGGAAGAAAAGAACGGCTAAAATGAGGTTCAGATAAGCAGAGTACAAAACACTTAGCTAGTTTCAACCTTAAATCACGCATCTGTTACAGTAACACTGATGTACTTCAAACTTTAGTTTAAGAAACTCATATTTATTGGACAAAATTCTCAAATCCAAGTTCAAAAGATGAAAGATTCTATTCTACCCAAGGCCAATTTCTGTTCATTGCCTGTACATACAGGCACGTCGCTTGTATGAGATGAATACTTTAAATCACCAAGCTTTTTTTTCACTTTTCTTTACAAATTTTGACTGGCTTTTAATCACTACCTATTATAAGTAAACGTTTTTAACAAATGCGATTCGTTTCCATGCTTTATTATGCCTGTGTGGAGCCTCAGATGGATACCGTGAATCAATCATATCTGTATGTAAAAGAATTGACTGATCTTGGGTATATCTATAAAAAGTATTTCTTCCAGCCAAGAGCCATTACAGAGTTATTCGATGAGTCCGCCACAAAAGCACAGGCTGTCAAGTAATGCCGCTTCCAGACCATAATCTATTGTTTTCAAAGGCTTACATATCCATGTAAAACGCATAACGGCTCGTGGAATGAGCAAGTATAGTTGCGAGAAAAGAGAATGGAACAAGTTGAATTATTTCAAAGTGAACCAAATGCTGATCTATCTAGTATGTTTCCAAATAAATCATACAATCTACAAAATAAATCAACAAATCTAGATCAACGATGATAAATAACCATGAAAGATACTAATGCATGACATTAAATTATTACGTAGAATGAATGAAGAAAAACAAGATGTACTTTATTTTTGATATATTTGTATAAGATCTCTTTTTGTGTTGATTGGATTGAGTCATTGTTATCACAGGTTGGTGGCCTTTGATGACTCTCACTTTTTGTGAATAAAACAGTCGTAGTCTTAGTCTAGTCTTAGATCTTGAATAGTTTTTTGAGTTCATCAGATATTGTTTCCAGCTATATTTATCTTTATGTAATGCATTCTACAGCACAAGTTCTGTATAGTAATACAGTGATATGTAGACTGTGGTCGAAGTGCGTCATGCAATAAAAAATAATTCTTCTCGGATGAAATTCATTGGATGAATACTTAAAATTAGAGAGAAAATTAAAGATGATTTCAGTTTCCATTTTCATTTTTTCGAGCCTACTATCTTTACCGAGGTATTCACTATTTGCCTTTTGGCGCGTGCGTAAATCGCCATAATCCTGATGACACTTGAAAAGCAGATTTGGAAATATCTTGATAGCGATAGTGGGCTCCAAAAAAATGCACATGGAAACTGAAATCATATTTAATTTTCTCTCTAATTTCAGATATTCATCCAATGAATTTCTTCTGCGCAGAATTATTTTTCATGGCATCAGTGTCACAGTAGTGGATGCACTTTGACCACAGTCCACAAACCACAGTACTGAACCTACAGTACTTGCAAAATTTACAAGTTTTACAGACAGTATCAAAGCTGTTCATTCAAATGTTATGATCATAATGAACTTGAAAATTTTTCATTTTTATCATGCAAATTGTGTGTATTTACATGAGCAATGCAAATAAAAACAAAAAATAAATGACAAGAAGTCTCTAAAGAACGACAAATATAATTTTTATTCATTTATTTATCTATTAGCCCAATAGTATTCAAAGTCAAGTCCTCTAGAATGTAGTACGATAATGAATAATAATGATATATGCATATAAAATTCTTAGAATTCGTTTGGAACGCCTTTTTAGCCAAACGCGTCCATATTCCAGTCGCAACAAACGCATTTTTTTATACGTTTCTAGACAAAAACGAGCCTGAACGTGTTTTTTCAACTCTAACATTCACAAGGGATTCCACTTCGTTCATCTACCTTACTCAAATGTAAAACTAATTCGAAATGTCCCAAATTAGTAACTATTTTAATGAGCTCCGAAAATTTTCTAAATCTTTTCAAGATCTTGATACAGAAATTTGAAGGTACGTCAGATCGAGACCGTAGTGAATTTTTATGAAGATCTTGATCAAGAATTTCAAGAAGTAGAATCTTTAAAGCACTTGTACTGTGCAGATTTTCGTTTTCTGCAAGACAAGGGAATTATGACTTAAAACTAATTTCATTCATATCACAGATCAAGCCAAAAAGAAAGCTGATTAGGCAGTTCTGAAGCGTTTTTATGAAAAAAAGTTGAACGAGTTCTGAAATCAGCACTTTAATAAATTTAGCAGCCACAAACTTCAGAATAAAATACCGATCGCCAATCAGCTTGGTCTGAAAAGCTGAATCAGTTATGTAGTCTTATCAGAGTTAAATCAGATTTCATAGAAATCTATGTTCTGATTTATTTAAAGATGAAAATACAGATCAGCTCTGAATACCGTGACGGAATCAGAACTGAATTTTCTGAAAGTGGCAACTTCAGCTATTTGGAAACAGATTCCTGTCGGATTTTCCAGGTCCAAATCATTAGACGAAAAGCTTCTTGTATATATAACAAAGACTTCTAAACTGTGTGAAGAATTTAGAATAATACGAAAATGGATAACTTTGGCTATTGCAAATATTCAAGAACAGTATTGCCAGAAATGATGATGAGAAGAAATAATTTCTCTCAGCTGATCCGCGCTCTGCAAAGAATTTATTGACTTTTAACTGTAAATCTATCATTAAAACCTAATTTTTTCGTCAAATTTTCCTCAAATACGATACAAAATCATCTTATACTAGTGGTTATACAATAAGGATGGACGTAGACACCCCTTCGGGGGTAAATGCCGCCAAAACAAGGCATCGGCGGGGTAGAAAACAGCAACAAAACACATTCACAACAACCACATCCTTCTACCAAACGAAGAAAACATTCATAATTGCACCATTACTATTAATTGCACCTGAATTTACCTCCAGAATGCAATTAAATAAATTTCTCACAACAAAAATGCCGACGATTAAATTAGCGAACATTCAGGCTAATAGAAATAAATCCTATACACTCCATCCTCTCAATATTGAGTCATTCAATCGCCTCCTAACAAAGTTCCCAAAGAATGAATGTACAGATCCTCAAAATGTAAACATTTCAATCCCTAAATCAATTGAAAAGATTCAACAGATAGATAAGGAAGCAATAATCAAACATGTGGATATGGAAATCACCGATGCAGAGATGATCGATGCATTAAAAGCCGGTGGGTTCAATGTTATTAAGGTGGAAAGATTTAAAAACTTCACTAAAACCGGTCCAGGTACGACAGTAAAGGCGGTCTTCTCAGACTCAGAAAATCAAAACAATTTCGTCAAAGTCGGTCTGCAAATTGGTA